AGGAGCAATGTCAGGAACGAAGCCGGGGTCGATACACAGATGGACTATACAGGAGCAATGTCAGGAACAAAGCCGGGGTCGGTACACAGATGGACTATACAGGAGCAATGTCAGGAACAATGCCGGGTCGGTACACAGATAGACTATAGGGAGCAATGTCAGGAACGAAGCCGGGGTCGGTACACAGATGGACTATACAGGAGCAATGTCAGGAATGAAGCTGGGGTTAATACACAGATGGACTATACAGGAGCAATGTCAGGAACGAAGCTGGGGTCGGTACACAGATGGACTATAGAGGAGCAATGTCAGGAACAAAGCCGGAGTCGGTACACAGATGGACTATAGGGAGCAATGTGAGGAACGAAGCTGGGGTCGGTACACAGATGGACTATACAGGAGCAATGTCAGGAACGAAGCCGGGGTCAGTACACAGATGGACTATACAGGAGCAATGTCAGGAACGAAGCCGGAGGTCGGTACACAGATGGACTATAGGGAGCAATGTCAGGAACGAAGCCGGGGTCGTACACAGATGGACTATACAGGAGCAATGTCAGGAATGAAGCCGGGGTCAGTACACAGATGGAGCAATGTCAGAACGAATACAGGAGCAATGTCAGGAACGAAGCCGGGGTCGGTACACACAGATGGACTATAGGAGAGCAATGTCAGGAACAAAGCCGGGGTCGGTACACAGATGGACTATAGGGAGCAATGTCAGGAACAAAGCCGGGGTCGGTACACAGATGGACTATACAGGAGCAATGTCAGAAACGAAGCCGGGGTCGGTACACAGATGGACTATAGGGAGCAATGTCAGAAACAAAGCCGGGGTCGGTACACAGATGGACTATAGGGAGCAATGTCAGGAACGAAGCCGGGGTCAGTACACAGATGGACTATAGGGAGCAATGTCAGAAACGAAGCCGGGGTCGGTACACAGATGGACTATAGGGAGCAATGTCAGAAACGAAGCCGGGGTCGGTACACAGATGGACTATAGGGAGCAATGTCAGGAACGAAGCCGGGGTCGGTACACAGATAGACTATAAGGGATTCTCAGTATAAACACAAGGGAGCTCCGACAACAACATGAAGTTGCTCAGGCAAAATGGGAAAGACTGAGCATGTTTTAAATAGACAAGCCAGCTAGGAGGCGGGCCAGGAAGTGATAGAAGGGCAAGGACATAAAACCCAGAGGATAGCAGACGACGCCCACAGCTGAGCACAGACAAACACACGTGAAGGAATCAAGAGCAGCAAGGAGGTAAGAATAAACACACAAGAGGGTGCAGGCTAACTTGTGACATACCAGTTATGTTGTATCCATATACAGTATTAGTTCCTTAAAAAGTGAGCCCAATAACAAATAGAGAAGGATAGAAAGTAATAGAGGAAATATTATAAAATTGTGAGAATACAGAAGCATCAATGATTTGTGCTGAAGGTCAAAGCATTAAAAGAACCAGAGCCAAACCAGAATGTAAAGTTGGACCAAATAGCAAGTAGTGAATAGTAAGGTAATGTCTATAAGGATCTGCATCACACATACATAGTTTACAAGAAAATAAAAGTGTGCCAGCAGTTGACCCAGATGAAAAGATTTTCCCTCTCACTGTGCCCTCAATGTTTCCCAACATAAAGGAGGGGGGGAGGGGGAAGAGAAAACAGACTCATCCCAATGCCATTAATGCCGTCAGTGATCCATCCAAACCCACAACCAAGTGTTTCAGTTGATAGATTTTCCCCTCTATTCCTGTTTCAGTGACAACTCATATATTTGTATCTTCTCATCACTTTCAGTCCCAGTGACAGTAGTTTCTGGGACAAACAGAAAAGGTGAATTTTCCCAGTAGGGACATAAGCAGCAATAAATATCTGACAAAAGGGTTTAATTCTTCCTCGCTCCATCAAAACAAAAAAGAAAAGTGTGGGCTTTACATTAATTTCAGGCCCTACTTAAACTTCTTTTTAACCAAGTCTATATTTTAACTATGTACACTATTTACTACGTGATGCTACATTCTCCATGAGGAGAGGATGCACTCACTGTATTACACCAAAAAGGAAATCTTTCGTCACTGGAAATCCCACCTGCCACCAACGGTGTCTTCATGGGAGTCCTCCATTGACTCTCTTCTACCTATGTATAAACTAACTTATTCAAGTAGGAACTGTTCAAAAAACGTTAACAGAGTTTAGATGCCATGGGAGAGACAGTAGATCCCGTTCTTCCTCCTCTACCCGTCTTTTCACCCCCACCCACTCTTTTTTCCTATTCCCTTCTGCTCTTCCTTTTCCTTGGCATTGCTCCTAGTTTTTGTTTGATTTTTATTCAATAACTTCTTATGGAAAAATGCTGTAGAGCATATACTGTACAATAAATTACACTGCTAGCCATACTTTGTTGTTCTTGTATATTGTCTTGACTGCCATGCATGACAATCAAATGGTATACCTTAAGGAAAAAAAAATCTCCAGGACATCTAACACCATTCATGAAATATTTCTTCTAAAGATTCTGATAACAATTTTAACTATGACAACAACATTATTACAAATACTAATAGTTGCAATAAAGAGAAAATTGGCTTGAGTAAGAAATCAACAAATGTAGTTTTTTTTTGTTTTGTTACTTTTCCTGAGTTTGTTGATCCCATATTTCAAAAAAGCGCTTGAGAACATCTTACAACCTAAAGCCATCTTCCTAATGCAATCGACCAATGATCCTGATAGAACATGAAATGCCAAATTCTCTAATTAGTTACTGACCTAAAGAGGCTGCCAAATGGTAAACTGTTTCAGCTGACTTGGCTCTTTTCTTTTAGAAAATGTTCCATTGCCTTTGCTAAAAGAGAAGCAGAAGTGCATATGCTATATGGTACTTCATGCACAAACCTCAAAAATAAAGTGTTTTGGACATGTCTGCTCTATTGTAAAACTGCATAACCCTCAATATGGCTTTTATTATATACATAAGTGCCTCCAAGGTACAAAGTTGAAAAAAAATTAAAAGATAATTACGTTTTTTTTTTCTGTTAAGCCTTAATACAAACCTGTAGCTGCACTAAATGGTGGTATTTAGGTTACAAAGTAGATGTACTACAGACTATTCATAGTTGTTAACCAGGTCATATTTACAAAGCATCGGGTCAGTGGCCTAACATTAGTTACTATTATGTGTGACAATGTTAGCTTGTATACTATATCAGAAGTACATAGTCTGTTCTCTATGAATAACAACTCTTGCCAGGAAAATCAACAATTTTTTTTCACTTTTTTCTTCTGAAAACGTTTACGCCAACACAACAAAATAAATATTACCTAAGATTCATGTTGGTGGCATTGAAAAGAATAACTAAAAAAGTTATAGTGGGAATGAATGAGGGAAACACAGCACATAAACTAAGATGAAGGCCCTATGGCTCTGGTGACATTTGATGGATTATAACCACTAAACAATCAAATTATTTAGGGTAACTTTTCCCATGCAGCGTTTGTTTTAATGAATAAAACTTCAGACCAATTTTAACGACCAATTTTAAATAATAAACAGTAAAGGCACTATATTACCAAATTAGATGGTATTCAAATGTGCAAATGTTTTAGTAAGCAGCAAAGGTGTTCTATGTTTTGTTTCAAAGCTATGGAAGCCCTAAGTTTAACATGAAAAAAAAAAAGGAATTTGAAAAAAGCTACTATCACAACAAGCAATAGCCCCTGGCTGAAAAGGAAATGGGGGACTTATTCAGGAAATCATGAAATGACTTGGATTCAGAGGTGAACAGAAGCAAAGAAAAGATTTTTTGTCCCTCTTGGCTTGGCACATGTAGATCATTAGGCAAATCTCTAGAGCTTTGCAATGAATGGTTAAAAAAAAAGCCATTTTTGACTTTTGCCACAGGTTCTTATAACAGTTATTTTCCTAAATCTCTAAAAGCAACAACAACCGAAATGAGCTTTATTATTTACCTTTCTAGTTGTGACTGGAAAAGCATAATTCTTCAAATCACGTTATGCTTATGAGTATGAGCATACATACTACTGCTACATACTACCAAGCCAAGCCAGGCTATTAATAATACTATAACATTAAAGTAAAATTCTACAAACATATAAGTTAGCCTATACTGAAAACTTATTACAAGTAAAAAAAAAGGTATCTGTGCTAGGCTTCAATTAATATCTGCTCCAGGTTTTTTATTTAATTATTATTTAATTTGAACATAATTTCCAACAACCTCCTTAGAGACTACAACAGTAATAAAAAAAATGATGCAAAGAGGGATAGTTATATACCAGCTTAAAAAAAATTATATGCATATATATATATATATATATATATATATATATATATATATATATATACAAACACACACACTTCCCCTCTGGAAGATTTACTCCCCTTCATGACCAGACCAATTTTTGCTATACGGTGCTGGGCTACTTTAACTGACAGTTGCACTGTACACAAATGAACTTTATATACATTTTTTCATACTAATTTTGTGCTATTTGATCCCCTCTGGGTTTTTATTTTTTGGGGTATTAACGAAAAAAGAATTACTTTTTTTTTAAAAACACACAATTTTTTAACTTTTTGCTATAAAACATATCCAGTAAAAAAATAAAATTTCTTCATAAATTTAGGCCAAAAGGAATTCTGTTACATGTCTTCGGTAAAAAAAATCCCAGTAAGTGTATATTAACCACTTGCCTACCAGGCACTTATACCCCCTTCCTTACCAGGCCAATTTTCAGCTTTCAGCGCTGCCGCACTTTGATTGACAATTGCGCGGTCATGCAACATTGTACCCATATGAAATTTTGATCATTTTTTTCTCACAAATAGAGCTTTCTGTTGGTGGTATTTAATTGCCACTGGGCGCTTTACTTTTTGCGCTATAAATAAAAAAAGTGCAAAACATTTGAAAAAAAAATTTTCTTTGTTTCTATTATAAAATTTTTCAAACAGGTATTTTTTCTCCTTCACTGATGTGCGTTGATGAGGCAGCACTGATGGGCACTGATAGGCGGCACTGATGGGCACTGATAGGCAGCACTAAAGGGCACTGATAGGCAGTACTAATGAGGTGGCACGGATAGGCGGCACTGATAGACAGCACTAATGAGGTGTCACGGATAGGCGGCACTAATATGCAGCACTGATAGGCGGCACTGATAGGTGACACTGATGATGGGTACTGATAGACGGCACTGACTGGCATCACTGCTGGGCACTGACTGGCGGCACTAACTGGCACAACCCCTGGGCACTGACTGGTGACACTGACTAGCAGCACTGCTGGGCTGCACTGGTGGGTGGCACTGGTGGGCAGCACTGGTGGCTGGGCACAGGTGGGTGGCACTGGTGGGCACAGGTGGGTGGGCACAGGTGGGTGGCACTTCTGGGCACAGGTAGGTGGCACTTCGTGGCACAGGTGAGTGACATTGCAGAGTGGCACAGGTGGGTGCACTGCTGGGCACAGGTGGGTGCACTGCTGGGCACAGGTGGGTGCACTGCTGGGCACAGGTGGGTGATCTGCTGGGCACAGGTGGGCGGAGCTAGTGGGCGCACTGCTGGGCACAGGTGGGCGGAACTTGCGGGTGGCACTGCTGGGCACCGATCATCAGGGCACTGATCATCAGTGTCCTGATGATCGGTGCCGATCCCCGCTCTGACAACTGCCGGTTCTCGGCAGTACTTTCCTCACGATCTGACAGCGTGAGGAAAGTGCAGCCGAGAACCGGCACTTGCATTTCCCTGTGATCAGCGTGTCAGCGTGTCACACCCTTAAGTGCACTTTTTGTGTGGTGTTTTGCACTTGCACTTTTTTGTGAACACTTACGGGTTTTTTCGTTATAGTTGCACGTTTGCGGACTTAAAAAAAAAAAAAAAATCATGTGATTGCTAAGCCAATCATACCGATCAGATGATAACAATGTAAACAAACTGTCATGGACAGCTTGCTTATTGCTGTGATCTGTGCTTGGCCCACAGCACTCACATGGTACCTGGCTACCTGTACCATGTGATTAGATGTAGCCAATCGCAGATCACAACCATAAGCAAGCTGTTGATGAATGTCAACTCATTCATGACAGCTAAAGCTATGGCTTATACAGTGATCATCACTGAAGAAATTCCTGATCCCCCCAGAGATGAAAGTATGTAAAAATAAAAATAGCAAAAAAAAGAAAAAAATTTGAAAAATGAAACAAAGTATTTAAAAAAATGAATTAAAAAACAATCAGTATCCCTAATCACTGCCACTTTTGTGAATCTGTGAACAAAAACACATTTTATTTAATTTCTTAATTTTCTAAAACAATTGTGACAAAAAATTCAAACTCGCCATGCCTGTTACTAAATACATTTGACTGTCTACTTTCCAAAAATGGGTCATTTCAGGGGTATATGTACTGTCCTGGCATTTTAAGGTTTTAAAGAAATGAGATTGTCCACCGGTTCATCAGAACTGATCAATTTTCAAATATATATATACCATTGTTGCAGACTAAATAATATACACTAAGGTGTCTGCTTATCATGCAGTGGTAAAAGACCACTGCTCAGGTCTCTGGCATTCTCAGAGAAGACAGCTCTCCTCTGAATGCCTGTTCATGAAGCAGTATAGATCGCGTCTCCTAATGTGTCACGTACCTGATTGGAGACTGAAATGACGAGGTCGGCCTCACTTGTGTCACTAGCCCTGACCCCACTGGAAGTGGAACAGAGGGTGTCTAGGGACCAGGGGGACAAGAGCGCCAGCAGATGTTGTTTGCAGCTCTTGCAGTTGGAGACTTTGGAAGGCTGATTCAGGCACAGTAGTGATATGCAGAGCTGGTATGGTAGATCGCCAGGTGTGCACCAGAGCAAGGCAGGAAGCAGGGATGGGAGACAGGAGCAGTGTCAAAGGAATAGCCAGGGTCATCAACGGGCGGACAGCGAGGTACCAAATCATAAGCAAGCCAAAGTCAGGAGCAGAGCCGAAGTCAGGAACCAGTATCAAGCAGGAGAGTCAGGTCAGGAACAAGCCGGGTCAGCAACAAGGAAATCACACTGGAACAAGCAGGAAACAGGGATCAGCTGAAGAGCAGTCAGCACTCAGCACAGGCAGAGGCACCTTTTAAATAGTCCATCTGGCGCCAATCTCCTCCATGCAAGTGCGCATGCGTGTACGTGATCGTGCATTTCTTTGCGCATGCGCATGTCTATTCGCCAGCCGTCTCACGGGAATTCCCTTACACAATGAGGAGTGAGACAATCTACAAACGCTTTGACCTCTAGAAAACGACTCCTGTCTCACAAGATTACAGTAAGAGATCAGTCAAAATACCGTTTGCTAAGAAGCGGTAAATTACCGCTGCTTCATTTGCGGCTCTCAGTGGAGACCGCTCAGTACCTCACTACACACACACATCTTCCACTGTCTTGGGGGCTCTGATTGAGGAAGAAGGAAGTCAATAATCTTCCTCCTCAGTTTTCTCGGGATTCACTCTTCTCTCCCCGATTCTCCACTGGAGAATCTGGAGGGAGAATTTTCACACAGATCGCCAGTGAAGGGCTGATATCGCTACTTCATAAACTGGTCAAGTCTGTTTCTGTCAGTAACAGATTCTCTGTGTGCAGAGATGTTCTCCACTGATCATCTCTGTTTCCTAAACCACAATGATCTGAGATCAGCAACGATCCTTAGGATTGCTGCTGATCTAAGTTTCATAAAAGAACACTTGATTTGGGTTATTTTTACTAAAGAACTGTAGCATACTACATTTTGCCCTATATTTATGAAAAAAGATTATTTATTTGATACATTTCATAACAGTAACTAAGAAAAATGTGTTTCTTTTTTTACAATTTGTGGTATTTTTTTGTTTTTATAGCAAAAAAAATAAAAAAATAACCCAGTGGGGATTAAATACCGCTAAAAGAAAGCTCTATTTTTTTGAAAAAAATTACATTCATTTAGGTACAGTGTTGCATGACCAAGCAACTGCAAGTTAAAATAGCACAGTACTGAATAGAAGAAAAATGCCCTGGTCATGAAGGGGGGGTAACATTTTCTGGAGGTCAAGTGGGTAAAGTTACAGTAAACATGGAGACTAGCTTTAAGGAACAAAACCTCTCATATAGTCACTGTAGGTAACCAAACAAATGGATTTAGAATATCCAGAATATCTTTTGTAATGCGACTGCAGCCCTACTGGTGCACTTGCAACAACACATTTGAATCCTGGCCATGATACCTTTTTTTTTTAATTTACACTAACTGTTACATTATCAGTGTCAGCGTCGGTCCCACTGACGTCATCACGCCGATGTTGCACTCTATGGTGCACTCCACCACCCTTCCAGCTGGAGACACACACGCCAGCCATCTCCATCTCCAGTTTCCTCCAGCACCTGGCATGGGCATTCCTGGTGAGGATTCAGATATCATTGGGACCTTCCTATTCACAGATGAGTCGTTTTTTTATATCCACAAAGTGAGTGGTTTTACTGTTATGTGAATAAACACCTGTTCCTACTGCACTTAGAGGCGCCTTTTCTTTCTTTTCTTCATACAAAAACAAAACAATGGAATCAAACTTGTAGAAAAGTGAGTTACATCAAAAATTACTTTAGGAAGATCTAGTAGGGTTTTTTTTTTTCACCGTTAGATCTGAATTCCATGAATACTGAAGCCGACCATACATGGATGAAAATTCAGCCAATTCAGCAGAGACCGCCCAAATTTCAATGTATGGGCTAGCTGGTTGCACACAAGTCAATCGATGAATTGGCTTTCATAAAAAATTGGAAGTGGCTTACTATATGCAGGTAATTGGCTGGTATTTTTGTATCTGTGAACCAGCTTACTTTAGGTTAGATCTTGGCTCATTCATCTATACGTGGTATTATGGTTAGATACTGTAGCTGTGTACACAAATAAATTGTGTTGCATAACTATTAGCATGAGAACCCTGCTCTGAGCATAAAACATTTACCCCCAGCAATAAAACATGCAAAAAATACCATTTTCATAAAGGCATCAGTAGGTGCAGCAAAATATATCCTACGCAATGCTAATTAACTTGTCATCATGCTTTTGAAGTTGTTTACCTTTTTAACAGCCGTCATTGATTGCTTCTGCTTTGCAGTCGCACTGTAAATTTCCTTGTTCTAATATTGACTTTATTTTGTAAGTATGGTGTGTTGATGTCAGCGGATGTTCATTTCATTAACACCTTCCTAGCCTCAGGCACTAATGCTTCTTCATGGCATTATAAATAAAGGCCGTATTTTACATGATGAGCAGTAATATTATGTCTAAACTTTATGCAGACTTTTATTTTTAAATGTCTGAAAATATAAAATGTCCCAGAATAATGTGTGGTAATTCTCATTAAAATTTTTAATAGCAGCAAGTGAATTATTTTAAGATTAAAAATGCTAATTATATATTTAAAAACAATTACTGTAACTCAACAATAGAGAAAAAAGCATTTAGTGGAATCTATTGTACTACTATGTACAATGGTAACTAATATCTTTCTCTTATCTGATGTCTTTCCAGGCTATCCATACACATATACATTTCCCCTTCCACGCTAAACAGCATGGATGAAAGAATCTTCCCTGCCGGCTACAGCCTGAACCTGCAGCTTCCAGAATACCTGAACAGTGACTGCATCTGATTGGATGTAGTCGCAGTTCCAGTGACAATTTTCCACCCAACACCTTTGACAATTGTCAATTGCAAATTGTCTTGTTGAGCCAGATGGTGCCCATGGGGCTACCAATGACTCAAATTTGAGTTTTGTATGGCAGCCTTTAGTCTCATGAGCAGTGTAATAAGTAAAACGTATGTGTGGTCAAAATGTAAAATCATATATTCATTTCCACATTTTATTTTTATTATTTCTACTCCTATTATTCTGAACAAAAATACATTTACTTACTTGAATTCTGTGACATGCATTCAGTATGCCCTGTGAGTAGGCACTGCTGTGTTACACATTTCACAGAGCCTGCCTTCTGAGCTACAGATGTGTTGAGGGGAGGAGTTTCCGGAGGTGGAGTCAGTAC